TGTTGTGCACCCTAATCTGTTTGAATCTGGGCTTATTTTTGTGCAGTGGTAAAGTGATTCTGCATCAGGGATTTAAATGGGATGTTGCAAAGGGATGTGTAAATGTTTGGGGAGAAAAAAAAAAAATCAGTGCTCTCAGGAAATAATCTCAACACTCTTCATTAGAAGTAAAACCAGGCCTAGGAAGGTGTTGTGTCCATTGCCCATTGCAAAAACATCTTAGGAACACTTGCCAGGCAGAGCACAGCTCTGATTTGTATGAGAAATGCCTGACTCACAGATCTTGGCAGACAATTATCAAAGATTAAGATATTTAAAATCTAGAGGCATTTGAAACCAAAATATTGTTCTGACCCAGCTCTAACACCTAAATAAACAGTGACCACACAGGCCTTTTACAGGGACAAGTGCTCAGTGCACAGCCAGCACCTCTGATAACAGGGCCTCATGGTTTGGGTTCTGCCAAACTGCTGAGGTTTCATGGAAGAAAAAAAAAACCCAAAAAGATTTAGATGCAATTCCAAAAGAGTCTGATCATCACATCCTTAAATTGGCAGCACTCCTGCTGTTGCTCTACCTACATCCAAGTAAACTCCTCATATTGCTCAACTTCAAGTCAACAACGGTTTCCTGGAAAGGCCAGACCTTAAATAAGTGTCAAATAAGTGAACGTGTCCTCAGCTCTGTGGCCTTTGAACATCCACAAAATGTGAAGGTCTAATTACACCTTCCTGAGCCGGCAGGGCCACGCCTCCGGGCTGAGAGCTGCCGCGGGGGCCGGGCCGGGCCGGGGCCTCCCCATTGTCCGGAGCACGCTAAGGCAGGATGCTGCCGCGGCCAGGATGTGATTCAGCGTCCTGTTTTGAACACTTCATGAAGTCAGCAACTTCTGCCCCGAGATCTCCCACCAGCTCCCCGGGACACAATCAATCTGCAGCCAGCAGGACTTGTCAAGGCTGTAATGAGCTGCTGTCCCCACAAATAAATCCTCAAGGCAGCTGCCCCCGTGTTCCCCCTGCCCCAAGTGCCTGCCTGGCACTGTGAACATGGCTGTGGGTACAAGGTGTTCACTCAGTGCTGCTCCAGCAAAACACGCTCCTAAATCCCTAAAGAAATTAAGGATCAAGGTGCTAAAAGATAATTTTGGTGCACTAAAATATAATAGACATGAAAAGTAAGTCAAGTGTATAAAACATATACATATGTGATATAAGATACAAGGGTGTCCTGTGGTATGTGCCAGAGGGATGATCATGGAATTATTTAGGTTGGAAAAGACTTCCAAGATCAAGTCCTGCTGTTCCTGCAGCTTTGCCAAGGCCATCACTAAACAATGTCCCCAAGTGCCACATCCACACAACTTTTCGATTCCTCCAGGGATGAGGAGTCCATCACTGCCCTGGGAACCCTGTTCCAACGCTTGCAACTCTTTCCATGAGGGAATTTTCCCTGATATCCAACCTAAACCTGCAGTTGCTCTGTTAAGAGTCTGTCTGCACCAACAACTCCTCCTGTTGATCACTGATCTGCAAATATACACAAGCCCAACCCTGAAAACCTCTACCTCCCACAGCTCCTCTTGCCAGCTCTTAAAATTCGGTTTAGAGGAGCCCAACAAGAACAATTCTTTCCACAGCCATCTTCAGGCTTGATCAGAGCCTGGAGATAACTAACTTCCAGGCCCTTCTGCAGTGGTTCAACCTCTATCTCTGCAGAAGGTGCCTGAAAACATTCACCCGGCGCTGCATTCAGGCTGTGATTGGAAAGCCAATAATGGCAAAGATTACAGAATGACTGGCTAAACAAACCTATTTATATTTGTAATTAAAACCAGTGATTATCTTTGCTGTGTTTGCCAACCACATCTGAGAATCAGCCAACACTCACAGAGCGATCTGGGTTGTACAACATCTCCTCTGCCTCGGTGTGACAGAGCCAGCACACGGCCAGGAGAGAGAATCAACTGGGTCACACCAAAAAGGAAAAACTGCACATGCAGCCCTGTGCCAGAGCAGGCAGCTGGGAAAGAGCTGGGCTCTGCTCTGCCTCCTCCTCGATAGCATCTCCTCAGGGTTTGCTCGAGCTGGAGCAGCAGGATCTGGGGCTGAGATAAGGCCACAGGCACGGCACGCATGAGGCTCGCATGGAACTCGATCTCAGAGACCTTAAGGCTGTGCTTAAGTCCAGGCTAACACATCCTCCCATGAGCTTGGCCTAGCCCTGACAGCAGTTTGACAAAGATTTGGGTGAGCTGTGGGTACACTGCACCAATAGGGGAAAAAAGGGATCAAGCCACAGCATCTCCCGGTGGTTATCCAGGAGGGAAGGTTTGAGCAGACACTGATAACAGCTCAGATGTGCAGCTTCTGGCTGCACTGAGCCCAACAGGGCTCTCAGATCTCTTACTTTTCCTTCTGCTCTGAGTCTTTTTCCTCAGGGAGCAATACAAACTCCTGGCTGCCTGCTGGGAGCAGTGTGGATGTTACATTGTCAAAGCTTCCACAAAATTTTTGGTAAGAGAACAAGATGACTTAAAGCAGATTAATGTCTAAGAAAATGCAGATAGCAGCAATATCTTTGAACCTAGAGCATGTCCCCTTGGTCTTTTCTGGGATAGAAGCTGTTCCAAGGAGAAAGAACAGCATTTTGGAATGACAGAAACCATAAGGAAGGATGACCAGGGAGCAGCAAGACGTGGCTGGGTGCAAAACCACGATACAGACCTGTTCCTCCAAGAAAACAATCAGATGGCTCATGGAACCAGATCCAACTATGCAACCTCAAATGAAAATCCCAGCATGTTTTGGAATGAACAAAAATAATTGTTCACCAGGCAGATGAATACATTATGTCATAAATGTGTACTAGCACAGGCATCCTGTATTGATGAAACACAGCTTGAGCTGGCAGCATGCTGGGGACATGTTTCCAACAATCCTTTCCTTTTCCTTCACCCTTAGATCGCCAAAGTCTGCAGAGCCAGGGGCTGGGCTGCTGACCCCTGTGCTCAAAGCACATGTGACAAAGCCCAGCTGTCACCAAGGCTGGTGACGTTCAGACCAGGACTGAAGGAGGCACAAACACCAGCACAGCCCATCCTGCAGGGATTTTTCAGAGAAGCAGCAGCACAATGAAGTTGAACAATTCTGCCACCCCCTGGGCACTGGGCAGAGTCTCAGCAGACTGAACCAGAGCAGGGAAGGGGACAGCAGCCAGGGGGAAGGGGACAGGATCGACCCACCAAACCAAGAGCAGCTCCATTCATCATCTGTGTTATGTCTGCATATTTCCTGCAGCTCTTGGCAGTGTTTCCCCCTGAGGACAGCAGAGGCTGTGCGTGAGAGCCATCTGATTCTCGAGGTCTGTCTGGCTATTTAATTACCAGATTCTTATCCTGACAATCGTATACGGAAGAGCAGCCCCAGGAGACTGAAGGACACAGGAAGCTCATGGGATCTCAGTGTCCAACGTCAGTGCTGCAGCGTTTTTCAACAGTCAGGAGAAAAGCACCAGCCTTTAAGCCTGGGCTAAGTGCATCTACACTCCTGGAGGCTCTGGTCAGTGGTGGATGCACATGCCTGGCTTGCAAAGAGGCCAGACAGACCAAAGGTGGCCAGAAATCCAAAGATTTATTTGTACAGTGAGAACATTTGCAGTGAAGAGGATAACGCTGTATTTTCTCTTTCAGCTCACAACTATATATCCAAAAGAGGAGGCTGCCATCCTGCTTGGTTACCAAATCCAAGGATTTCACCAGGATTTGTCTGTACAGTGAGAACATTTGCAGTGAAGAGGATAAAGCTGTATTTTCTCTTTCAGCTCACAACTATATATACAAAAGAGGAGGCTGCCATCCTGCTTGGTTACATGTTGCTGTTTGATACCACATGGGGAAAAGAACAAGAATTAGGGTTGTGTGGCTGTTCATGGCTTCAGCAGGCTCCTGGTGGGGCCTTGCATTGTACAAGGAGCAGAACAAGGAGCCCTGAATTTTGATTTCATCAATACAAAATCCATTCCCCACACAGTCAACTCTCAAATGTCATTAGAGACAGCCAAGAAATGCCCATACACACAGGAGAGCAGACACACAGCACTTCTGTCTGCAACCCATGTGTGTGCAGACAGGACAGCCATGGAATTCCAGGCCTCCCAGGCAGGCTGCAGCCAGGAGACACCATCCCAGAACTCAGAAACAAAACAGTCCAACAACTTCCTTCTCTGTCCACGAGCAGCCCTGCTTTCTGGCCTCTGACTTCACTAGCAGGGCAGACACAGTCCAAGCAGCAGCACGAGCAGCTTTGCTTTTCCTGAAGCCAGGATAAGGAAAGCAGGAAGGAGGGACAAGGAGAAGAGACTGAGTGCTGAACCACTGCTGTGCCTTCACACTGCTCCCCTGGGCTGTGCTTTACAGGTTGGAGGGTAAGAGCTGCCTGCAAGAGCCAGGCTTAGAGTGAACCAGCCACAGCATTACTCAGAGCCCATTAGCCAGGGCCCCAGCACATGAGCTTGTGTCACCACTTTAGATCTGCACAATGTCAGCAAGAGGAGCCTCTCTCTTCTCTGGCAGGACAGCTCAGCCCTTTCTTACCCTGACATGAACACAGTGGCTCTGCACGACCCCAAGGAGGCAAATTCCTGGTAAATAAACCCAGGAATGAGCAGAGCTCTCCCCTCTTCCTCCTGGGAGCACAGCCCCCTTCCTGAGTGGAGCCCCAGCCTCAGGGAGCAACAGCAGAGCCAGAGATGCTGTGATAACACTGAAGTGCTGTGGCCAGAGCTGACCAGTAATTTTCCAGTGTCTTCTCAGGAGTGGAAAAAGGATCACAAACTCTCTTTTATTCTTTCATCTCATTCAACACTTATCTCAAAACTGCTGAGGAAGAGAGCATCCCCAGGTTCAGCTCTCTGCAGACAAGGCCATCCCCTCCAGGCAAGGGGACCTTTGTGGGGATCAGGATAACAACAGTGGGAACTTAGAGCCCAAAAGTGCAGCTTACCTCACATTTAGTCTACGCTCTTCATCACTGCCGGCCTCCGCCTGAGGGGAGGAAAGGATACAAGAGAGTTACACCTTGGATGTTTGCACATGACACCTTGAAATAAAATCCCTGCAGCAACAGGGTGTGAGGGGCTGTTTTCCACGGGGCTTTTCTTCCCTGGGCCAGGGATAAACGAGACTCCCTAGTCCTGTATGGCACCAGCACCCGGCGCCGGGTGACAAAGGGGCTCACGGGGATTTTAAAGCTATTAGGTCCTAATCCTGCAAGCTGGTCCTGCAGCGCTTTGAGAGCGCCAGCCCCGACGTCACCGCGCACACCTCGCTGCCACTGCGCACACACGTCAGGGCTGCAGCTGGCAGCCACGCCTGGGCACAAGTAACTGGCACTCGGGGTGTCCCAGGCACCAGGACACAGCCAAAAGTGCTCCCTGGGACTGTCCCAGCTCCAGCACCTGGTGTGCAGCTCAGGGATGACACCGGCAGGACAAGGAGGCCACGTCCACCTGGTGCTGGCACACGTGTCCCCAGGCTGGGACAATGCACGTCCTCTGCCTGCCTGGGGAACACGCTGCTTTGGGGGCAGGTGTGGATTAAAAGGGGCACTTTTGCACCAGGCACTTGGGGAAAGCCCCCCTGGAAGCAAATCTGGCTGCTCAGGTGACACTACACTTTATTGAGTCTCCTCAAAAGAGGAGTGTGACCTCAGCCTGCTTCCAAACCCAAGCATTTTCACAGAATCACACTTTCCAGTCAGCCCCTTCAACTTCCCTAGTAGCTTCTATCAAAATTCCTTATTAGAGAAAAGCAGAGCTGGGGCTAATTGCATCCAGAGCTGACAAAAAAAAAGAAACCAAAACAACAGGCTCTGAGATAGTTCTGCTTTGGTCCTGCATGAGTACAGAGGAGAAAGGGCTGGGAGCATCCCCTTGGAGAGCAGGGCTGTGCTGCGGAGATGATCTGGGCTCAAAAAGCAAAGCAGGGACCTTACATGAAATCCTTCACACTCACAACACACCCGATCCTGACAAAGCTGGAGGGACAAAGCCCTGCAGGAATCAGGCTCCATCAGTGCTGATACTTGGGGAACATCCTGGTATTTCCTACAGCATTGCTCAAAAACCACATGAAATAAGGGTCCCTGTAAGAGTTACTTGTTTCTAGGTGGTTTTGTACAAGTTAAAAATAAGCAAATTACATCATTTCAAATGTTCAGGACTGGAGCTTTGGAGGGATGAGGGGACCTGGATTACCCCCCATCCTCTCAAGCTGGCATTTGGGAGGCTGCAGGGCACAGGAGCTGCTCTGCTGACAATCTGTGAGAACCAAGTAAAGCCGGGGGAAAAAATCCTGCAAATGCAAGAGCAGAGGCCGGATATTGGAACTGTGGCCATTTGGAGGAAGGGAGATGCACAAGGCTGTCCTGACTGACCCAGCAGAGGGTGAGGAGCATACCATGGCTATTTTTAGTCTGTTTACAGTGCAGAGCTGGGCTGCAGGCAGGGCCCCAGAGCACCCCGAGTTCCAGTGCCCCCACGGGCAGATCCCCCAGCCCTGGGGAGGTCTGGAGGTCTGGCAGGTTTGGGACCTTTGCAGGGTCACCCTCCTGTTTGTTTGGGGCCGTCACGTAGCAACAAAGGGCACAAAAACTTTTTTTCCTTTTTAAACAAACGTGACTGTGAGGATGATGACTCTTGGATGTCGTCAGCTGGGGCTCAGCAGCAGGGCTGGGCCTGGAGCTGCTGTGGGCTCCTCTCCTGCAGGAGCTGAGCTGTTCCCAAAGCTGACTTTCCCTGTATTTTCTACAAAAACCTGCAGGCAAACCAAAGGAAGGCAGCAGCAGGCTGCCACGCCGAGCCCTCCCGCCCTGTCCTGCTCAGGGCACCCCTGGGTGCTGGCAGGGTTTGGGGGGCACCACTCACTGTGGGGAGGCTGTGGGGCTGCAGCTGCTCGTCCCACCATGGCCAGACCCCACCAGGCACTGCCTGTCCCTCCCTGGGACTGTGCTGAGCGTGGCCACTGAAGGAGCACAGGGAGAGGGAGGTGTGTGGAAGGGAGAACCACAAGCAGTGCAAGTTTGCCAGTGTGTGTGAACCACTCTGTCCTAAGAATTTATGGCTCACTATGTCAAGGCAGCAGCATCCATTTTATAAATTCCTTTGGGCTCCTGAGTTAGGAGAGGCCACAGTAGCACAGTCACAATTAGCAGGGATATGTGGTCATCATTTCCCATTAAAGTATCTTCTAGTAATTGTTCAGCTAAAAGCCCAAATGAACCCTGGTTTTCCTTGCAAGAAAGATCCTTAAAAGAACAGGACCAGTCTGGCAGTTTTTGATAGGATCTTTCTTTAAATTAACTTTGCAAAAAACAACATGCTGAATCTGGAAATCACAATTTTATTGTATTTCATGCCAGAAGAGACCATTCCTACAGGACTCAATGCCTTCCTTTGAGAGCCACCACAGCACAGCTGAGCTGTGGGTACTGGTAGCAAAAGTGCCATGGACAACACCTGGTGACAAGTTTGGGCAGCATTTTTGGGAGGAAAAAGGAGAATTCTAGTCACCTCACAGAAAATACAACCACTAGCAGCAGCCCTGACACAAAGCAATGCCTAGGACAGATGTACATGGCAAGGCCTGCTTTGACTCCTCTCCCACCTGCACCAGTTAAATCCAGTCTAATTCCACTGCCTGCTCTGGGTTACAGCTCATTTTCATCACTCCAGATTGGGTGGCCACTAGGTCTTGTTTAAGACTCTGCCTAAACCAGATCCCACAAAATTCCTTCTGAAAACTCCTCAGAAAAGCGCAGCTCACATCTCCAAGTTCCTCAGCTGGCACAGTGTGGCCCAAACTGTGTCCCTGCAGCCAGGGACCCCCCTGGGGCCAGGGAGAGCCCGGGAGCTTTGTGGCTCCCCCCTCCTGCTCCCCCCTCAGACCAGCTAATCGGGGGAGTCACAGGGACCTGACAGGTGACAAATAGGATTGTTTACCTGGCAGGAGTGGGGACAGAGCGAAGCCAAGGGCAGTGAACATCAAAGGAAAGAAGCGTGGGGGGAGAGGGATGCACGGGGAGGGTGTGCAGAGAAACAGCAGGCCTGTCTTTGAGGGTCACAAAGGACATGGATTGGGAGGGAAAAAGGGAGAAGAAAGAGAGGGTGGAGGTGCAGCTGTGTTTGGATGGCACGTGGGAGCTGTGTGGGCTGGGCAGAGGTAGGAGAGGGCATTTCTGGGGCACAGCAGAGCTGGCACACGCAGAGTGCCAGGCCAGCAGGACACGGATGGCACCGTGGGGCAGGTGAAGTGGCAGGTCCTGGAGCAGCAGAGCTGGGAGAAGGACAGGGCAGCAGCATGGTGGGGGTGTGAGGAGTGGCACAGGTACAGGGTGGAGCAGGATGGGAGCTGCTCCTGGAGAACTGACAATGGTCACCTTGGGGAAGGGCTGGCGTGAGCTCCCTGAGGGGCAGAGGCTGCAGCAGGTGGGATAACACAGGGAAAAGCAGAGCATCCCTGGGGCAGGAGGTGGTGGCAGCTCTGGGATGCCAAGCAGGGACATGGGCCAGCACAGCTGCTCCACAAAGACAGGCCCAGCACTCTGCCCAGAGATTTACCTGGCAAGAGAGATGTGAAGAAGGCTGCCCCAGGGTTTAGGGAGCTCAGGCTCCCTGCCAGCTGAGGGCTGGAATGAGGGACAGCCACAGGGGAATGGGGCTGTGTCTGTGGGGATGGCAGCACAGACCCAGGCCTGGCTCAGCCTGGCAGCATCAATGGGGCTGGGCAGCATCCCCAGAAGGGATGGCATGGCTGAGGGCTGTGAGGGGCTGAGCTGGCCCGGGAGCGGTGGGGGTTGTGGGGCTCAGGGCCACCGGGGCTGTGATGGGAGGAAGGCTGGGGGAAGGGGCTATGGGGGACCAGGGGACTGTAGGGCTGGGAGCATGAGGGACCAGAGCCTGTGAAGGGCACGAAACCAGGGCCTGGGGAGACTGTGAGGGGCTGAGCTGGTGCCAGGGGCTGTGGGCAGTCAGGCCATGGGGACTGCGAGGGGATGAAGACAGGGCACAAGTGGCTGCGGAGGGCCAAGGGGCCGCGAGGGGGTGGAACCAGGGGCTGGAGGGGGAAAGCTGTGAAGGGCCAGAGCCGGACCATGAGGAACCTTGGTCTGTGAGGGTGGCGGAGCCACAAGCTCTGGGTTACGGGATGCTGGGGGGGCTGCAGGGGCCTGGCCCCGAGCGGCGGGGCCTCACCCCGCCCCTCCCCGCTCCCCATCCGCCGCCGCCGCCCGCGGGGCTCACTGTCCCCTTCCCTCCCCGCCCCTGCCCATCCCGTCACGGCTCACCTCGCTCGTGCTGGCCGAGGAGGCGGCGCTGGGGGTCGGCGAGCGCTGCAGGGTGACCAGCGCCATGGCTGCAGCTGCGGGGCCGCGGCCGCCTCCCCCTCACGCCGGGAAGGGGCGGGGCCGGGGCGGGGCCTGCGAGGGAACGGGCGGGGCTTGAAGGGGCGGAGCTCCGACGTGTGGGCGTGGCTCCCTCGCTGTAGTAGGCGTGGTTTATTTTGGTGGGCGGGGCTTCCCGGCCATTCCCACCCCAAATCCCATTCCATGGCAGGGGCACCTTCCGCCAGACCAGGCTGCTCCAAACCCTGTCCGACATGGCCTGGGACGCTTCCCGGGATGCGGCAGCCACAGCTTCTCTGGGCGGCCTGAGCCAGGGCCTGCCCAGCCTCACAGGGAGGATCCCATCTAACCCTGCCCTCTGGCATTCCCCCTCCTCCCGTCACTCCAGGCCCTTGTAAATAGTCACTCTCTATTTTCCCATCAGGCTGCCCTCAGGTACTGGAATGCCACCATTAGGTGCCTCCAAAGCCTTCTCTTTTCCAGGCTGAACAATCCCGATGCCCTCAGCCTCTCTTCCTATTCGAAAACTGAGCCAGAAGCACTCAATTTTTCCAGATCCCACAGGAATCTTGTGTTCAAGAAGCAACTGGATGTGACATTAGTGCTGTGGTGTAGTTGACAAGATGGTGTCAGTCAAAGGTTGACCTCAGTCGTCTTTTCCAGTCTAAGGGATTCTGCAAATCCAGACCCTGGGAAGTCATAGAGTCATTGCTGCGGGAAAAGACCCCCAGGACCATGGCCACGAAACACATCCCTGTGTCCTGGTCTGCCAGTGGTCACCATGGAGACAAGAGGCAGGGGTGGCTTTTTGCCACCCATGGTGGTGACCCCGTTTTCCTCGACTCTGGGGCCTCCTGCCAGTGGCATCACGTGGGAACTCCACCTCCCAGAGCGAGAGCAAACTTTGGCCCTGCTGCCCTGGACACTCAGACCTTGCCCTGCTGGGCTGTAACAACAATTCTGGCTCTGAAGCCTCTGGACACGGCAGTGACTGCTCCGGGGACCCCACACTCCAAAGGTAAACTGGTGGAAAATGTGTATTTTTGTTATTTTTTGGCAGATCCTCCTCAGCTGGCGCTGCAGGGGCAGCTGGGGCAAGTCCCTGTCCCTGGTGGAGGAGGTGACCCGGGTTCCTGAGGGTTATAAAACCATGGCAGATGGGAAGCAGCTCCCACTGTGCCATTCCAATGACTCATCCCTCCATCCTGGCAAATGCCATCCCCCTGTTGTCACAGCAGAGATGCTGGACTTCACCTTGTCCAAAAAAAAAACCCTGCAGGCTGGGATTTATTCCTGCTCTCAGAACCAGGCAAGGATCTGTACCCTAGCCCTTCCCCAAACTGGTGTTTGTCCACTCCCTGCACAGGCAGTGACCACAGGGCTTTTCCAAGGCAGGAAAGCGCTGTCAGCAGGGAGCCAGAGGATGGAGGGGGCTGCAGCTGTGTCCAGTCCTGGCCCTTCAGTTTGGGAAGGGCACTGGGGGTCTTGAGCACATCCCGAGGAGGGCAACAGGGCTGGTGAGGGGCCTGGAACACAAGTCCTGTGAGGAATGGCTGAGGGAGCTGGGGGTGCTCAGCCTGGAGAAAAGGAGACTCAGGGGTGCCCTCCTCACTCTGCACAGCTCCTGAAAGGTGCCTGTGCTCAGCTGGGGCTGGGCTCTGTCTCCAGGAACTGACAGAACCAGAGGACTCAGCCTGCAGCTGTGCCAAGGGAAATATAGGTTGGATATTAGGAAAAATTTTTTTATGGAAAGAGTGATAAAGTTCAGGAATGGCTGCCCGGGGAGGTGGTGCAGTCACCATCCCTGGGTTTAACAAAGCCTGGATGTGGCACTGGGGGCCAGGGTTCAGTTGAGCTGCTGGGGCTGGGTTGGACTCGATGATCTGAAAGGTCTCTTCTAACCCAGTGATTCTGTGTGATTCTGTAATTCTGTGATATCCTGTGATTCTGGGATTCTGTGATTTGCAGCCAGAATTTACCCACAGCCTTCTCCCAGCTGTGCCTGGAAGGGTTTGGGGTGGTGGCACAGCCACCCTCACGTGCAGCCCTGTGGGGGACAATGGTGTGAGGCTCCAAGCTTGCACTCATCACCTGGCATTGCTCCCTGGGAAAAGCCTGCTGCTTCCCACCTTTTTTACCTGTGCCCACCTCTTGCCTCCAGCCCGTGCCAGTGGCTGGGAAGGATTGTGAGCTGCCCAGAGCAGGGCTGGGTCACTGGGAGTGGGGGGTCACAGTGTCCCTCTGTGGTGGGAGCTCCAGCACCTCCCTGGCTGCTCAGGGACACAGAGGAGGATCCCTGGGGCAGGACACACCTGGAGCTCCTTGTGCCAGGTGAGCAGTGCAGCCATGCCAGCCGAGCTGCAGCTTTTCTGTGGCACAGCCAGGGGTGGAGACACATTCCCCAGCCACTGTGGGGAACCACAACTCCCCACGCCTGATTCCTGCATCAGAGCTTGAGGAGGGCTGGGAGCTTTACAAGAAGAGCACTCACGAGGATCTCGGCGCCTCCCTGCTGCTCTGGCAGCGGAGCTGAGGCTCCTGCAGGAGCTGAAGTTCCCCCGTGGTGTCCCCAGCTTGTCCAGCAGCCCCAGCTCTGCCCTGGGAGCCGGAGCCATGCGTGTGGCCGTCATCGGCGCCGGGGTCATCGGGCTCTCCAGCGCTCTGTGCATCCATGAGCAGTTCCACAGCCTGCTGCCCTCCCTGCAGCTGGAGGTCTACGCCGACCACTTCAGCCCCCACACCACCAGCGATGGGGCGGCCGGGCTGTGGCAGCCCTACCTGAGTGACCACGGCAACCTGCAGGAGACGTAAGGCACGAGGAGGAGGAGGAGGATGGTGCCTGCCCCTCTCCCTGTGTGCCATCAGCTGCCCTGGCACAGCTCCGTGGGGCTGGCAGAGCCACCACTGTCCCATTCTCATCGCAGGCTCTGGAATAAAGAGACGTTTGATTACCTCCTCGGGCAGCTGCACTCCCCAGCAGCCAAGGAAATGGGACTTTTCCTCATTTCTGGCTACAACCTGTTCACGGAGCCGGCGCCGGTAAGGAGCAGGGCACAGCAGGGCTGGGAAGGGTTTCAGCCCAGCAGGTGCCTGCTGTGGGCAGGGCTGTGCTTCTCCCAGCCAGGGCTTCCCAATATTTCCAAGTTTTCCCTGTGACATGGTGTTTTCTGTGCTCCCGAGGCAATATTGGTGTGAGGATCCACTAGGAGAGTGGGAGTGACAGAGCCTGTCCAGCTGTGCTGGCAGCTGCACATCCAGCTGTGTTCCTCTGGGATGGGCTGTGTCCCATGGGATGTGCCCCATGATCCCCCCACAGCTCCTGTCCCACGGTGATCCCAGCTCATTAATGGTCTCAGAGCTCTTTCTCTTCAGGACCCGTGCTGGAAGAACATTGTCCTGGGATTCAGGAACTTGACACCAAAAGAACTCGAACTCTTCCCTGGCTACAGGTATTTTTCAGTTTGTTTTTTGGAGACTTGGGTAGGACAGTCCTGGATGCCTCCTGAATACAGCCCTGGCATGAGGCAGTGGGACAAGGAACTGCAGGCGTAGAAACGTCCTCACTTCTTTGAAACTGCTTCCCTTCAAATAAGTAGGAAACAGCTCAAATGGCCAAAAAAACAGCCACCCAGCACAGAAACCATTCCAGCTCCTCTCTTACCTCACCTTGCCTCAATGTCAAACAGGGGAGAAAACCTCAATGTCAAAATAGGGGAGAAGGTGTTTTATACTGTAAAAAGGGAGGAAAAATAATGCACTGACGTGAGGAGGGTCCCAGGGGGAATTGGGATCCCAGATGCACAGTGGCTGTCAGGAATGTTGGGGCAGGAGGCTCCTGCAGGTCCTGCCAGCCTCCTCTCCTCCTGTTTCAGCTATGGCTGGTTCAACACGGCGCTGATGCTGGAGGGCAGGAGTTACCTGCCCTGGCTCACCAACAGGTGAGTGCAGCTGCTCCTGTTTGCTCTGGCTGCAGGTGTGGATTCTCATCCTGCACATCAGGATAGGGTGGGCACAGATGCATCCCTGGGAAGCAGGGAAGAGGCTCTGGAAGTCCTGTTTAATGCCCCAGTGGGGTAACAGTGAACCCAGAAGAGTATTTTTTGCATGACAAAAATGAAAGTAATGGGATACTTGGAGTTGCATCCAATGGCTTTTGGCTTTGGAAGAATTTGGGGCTTGGTTTTATTCCTGTAATTTCTAATGCTGAGCAGGTGTCCTGGCATTGAACATTTGCTTTTAATTTGCCAGTAACAAATGAACTTGTGCTTCCCAGGCTGACGCAGAGGGGAGTGAAGTTTTTCCATAAGAAGGTTGAGTCTTTCCAGGAGGTGAGTGGGGATGTGGAGCCAGGGCAGAGGGCACAGCCCCATCCCAGAGTGGAGAAGCAGCATCCAGCAGGCAGGTGCTGCTCTGGGATATTCCTTGGTGTGAGTGATGGGCCAGGGAACAGCAGCAAGACCATGCCAGGATCCAGGAAAAAAAATTACCAGGAAAGATAAAGGGTCTTAGGTAAAGGTCTTGGGTATTGAGGGATGGCTGACAGAGGACAGGGTAGAGCATTTATCCAGCATGGATTGGCAGCTTTCCCTGGAATGGCTTGGTGGCACACATGGGATGTCAGCAGGAGCTGGCTGGGGAAGAAGCCGTGCCCTGGATCTGGCCCTTGTGCTTTATCCATTTCCTGACTGTTGGAAGGAGCACTTGGCTTGTTTGGAAGCAGGAATGTTGTGCCTCTGTGGCAACATCCCCACGTGCTGCTCGCAGCCGTGTCCTCTCTCCTCAGCTGTTTTCCCAGGGTGTGGATGTGGTGCTGAACTGCAGTGGGATGCGCTCAGGGGACCTGCAGCCCGACCCAGAGCTGCAGCCTGGCCGGGGCCAGATCATCAAGGTGAGCTGGGGCAGGCCTGGGGGCTTCCCAAAAACCCATCTGTTACCACGAGGAGTGTCTGTGCCCTCTGGGGAAAACCATGGGCTTGTGGCTGGATCCACGCTGGGATCAGGTCCTGATTCCCAGCAGACACTGCTCCTGTGGAACCAACCAGATCCCATTCCTGGTTCAGC